TACCCTGTCTTTAGTTTAAACAGTTCCATTTTGTATTTTATGACACTTTTACCCGAGCCTACCTTTTCATGAGACTTTTACCAAAGCCTAAAACCACAGGCTGCCTCTCCATCACTTTTCGTGTATGTTGGACACTGGTGTGTGGGGTCAGTCCTGCTCTGGGTGCAGTCTCTGCCTCAGGATCACCATGGGTCCTGTAATGTTGTCTGTGAGGAGCTGGGAGCCAGAGCAGAGGTGGAGCTGGCGCCCTGGGCTCTGCTGCAGGATACATGATGGGGACAGTCAGGTCTCCAGCCCTGAAGACCACTGTGCTCCCCACCTGGAGCACCTCCTCACCTGCAGTCTGGAGAGGCTCCTCCTCTCTGCATCTTTAAATCCTGGCTAATCTCGGAGCACAGACTTGCCAGCCAGGCCTGATTCCTCTTGGAAAGAGGCTGAACCATCAGCAGGCCACTTGGCACAAGGCACCACAAGAGGAGCTGCCTGCCTCCCACCTTGCCCCTCACCCTGGCCTTCAGCAGCAAGAGCTGCTCTCCCCCACCTCCTCTCATGTACTGACACCCACATTTTATAATTTAAAGATAATTTATTGATATTTGGGTTTATTTCTTGGAGTTGGGCTGGACAGGAAAAGCATTTGCGCATCTATTCAGAGAGCATGTCACAGCTCTAAAGTGGGAAGTTTTAAAGAGACTGGCTGTGTGTAAGAGGACATGAAAAAGTGTTGAAGGCTTCAAGCACACATGTACATTAAAGAGAGGATTGACAAAATTCCTAGAAAGTTTTCCTTGTAGAACTGAAAGTGGAAACACATAATCTTCACATCATTATCCACATTATTGAAACTGTGAAAACCAAACCACGTGCAATAACACAGCTGTTCTAGCTAGAGGCATTTAATCTCCCACCATCATCTCAAAATATACATGCTCCAGCTCCTGGTTATGCACACAGCAATCAAGGGCTAGGAAAAAAATTAGTAAGCATCAAGGGAAACTTCCTGTACTTATTTCTCTGTCCCTGTTTAAGTTCAGAAACCAGAAAAAAAAAATCCTCCTGCACTTAGCCCTAGAGAAGTAGCTGAATTTCCTAGAGCAAACAAGAGGAGAAAGTGCATGATGTTAGAAATTATAACTATGTTTGGTCCCAAAAGTCACATTGTGAAGAGTATGAAGAATGCTATTTTTTTTTAGTAGGGGCAGAGTTAAGAGACTTATAAAGCTGAATTATTAAATTAATATCTCTAGGATCCCATACATAATTATATTCCTTTGGTTCCTTTGGGACATGGCTGGGCCTATCCTACTTGGCAGGAAACTCCAAAAGGCTTGGGAGGGCATGGCTGTTGCACCTCTTGCTGTGCCTAGGTGGAGGCATGTTCCTAATCCAGGTGTGGGGAATGAACCCTGACAGCAGCACAGCTACTGTGATCTTTAGCTATAGGAGCCCTGCCCCACCCAAACTGTGGAGAAAATGGGGCAAGAACAACCCTTCCTTTGGCACAGTCTGTCTTCAAGCCATTTTCCCCTAGGAACCTGGGTAATTTCAAACTCCTTTTCTGACCACTGTTCTGTGTTTCCTGTCTGAATAGATTGCAGCCGGCACAGGGCTAGCTGGCATGCTCTGGAAATGTGCTGACTGTGGATATTAGAAACATATTGAATAAACATGCCCTAGGTGCCTCAAAATCCACAGAGTAAACTCATCACTATGCTGATATCCAGTGTCTGAAGTTTTCCAGTATAACAATTGTTTCCAATAAACATTCCAAGACAATCTGTGCCACATTCAGAAGGGAAGAATCAGGTTAACTTCAGAAGATGATGTTAGCATGCATCCTGTGTTTGAACACAGTGGAAAGATTTCTGTAGCTGCTTTAGAGGGTTTCACAGAATCCCATGGGTTCATACCTGAGTGTAATAGGGATTGGATGTCTTGGGCACTGCAAAATTATCAGATGCAATCACCTTAAAATGAATAAATCAATGGCCAGCTCTCTGTTGTGTAGCAAACCTGTGCTCTGCAGGTGCCCACTGTGCTCCATCCCAACCTGCCCCTCATCCCAATCATGTTAACAATGGCTTTGTGATATTTCTGGGGCTTTTTTTCTTTCATTTGGGTGGAATCACTGTCTTTGTGACTGACCATCTTTGCTTGGATGGTTCACAGCTATCTGTAATCTATTCAGGCTATTAGAAGGTGAGATAGTTAAAAGAAAAAAAAATTTCAATTCTTTCCTGCCATATTCTGTCAAGTAACAGGAGTTATTTAATTATGCTTTTGCAGCAATCATATCTATGTATTAGTCACATGCCTATCTAAGCCAAATTCTCCTTTATTAATTTAGTATATCTTAAAATACAAAATTACAGCTACCTGAAAATAAAAATTAAACCTTTGAAACAGTTTTAAACAATTGCTGCATAATAAATCAAAAATCTGGAAGAACTATCATGATGCTGGGACCTGACCACTTGCAGGACACGTGATAGAAGCTCACCTAGCCACCCCACTATTTCTGCCCAAACAGAACACACAGTCTCCAAAAGCACTGTCATAAAAGCAAGCACCTGCTGGACTGAGAGACCTGGTGGCTACACTGTAAAGGATTCACTGGGTTTTGAAGTCTGCTGGTAAATATGGCATACTGGAATAATCCTAGTGTGACACAACACAAGGAATAATAGCACATGCATTGATCATTACTGACCCTCCCCATTCTGACAGCTGTAGTTCTTCTGTTTTTCACGACCTAAATTTAAAACAATAGGGGTTTGGTGTTTGTTTCCTGTGAGATGGTGCAGTTATTCAAGAAAGGCTTGAAGAGATTGGGGTTTTTTTAATTGAACCCCACTTTGGTCTTTAGCTGGCAGCTGTGAGGGGATGAGTAGAGAGCCAAACTGTCCTTTGGGGGTGCTGTGTGGCCAGCTGGGCTGAGCTGCAGGCACCAGAGCACTGCTGCTATCTGCAGGTCTGCTCTGCACAGCCTCACCCTGCACATGGAACCACTCCTCCAACAGGGATGCCCATGCTTGGGAACAGGACCAAAACACAGACACTGAAGTGTTCTGGCTTTGGGGAAGTGCAAGCTGGCAATCTGCAGCCTCTCTGTCCAGTGGCTACCCTGTGCCAAAAACCCAAATTCAAGTGGACTTCATTAAAGGGGAAGACCATCTCTGCTGCATGAGAGTACAATTTCTGCCTTTTTTAAAAATTTATTTTTAGATTTTTTTTTTTCTACAAATGAAGAGGAAACATTGCTCTGTCAGGTGCAGAGTAAGAGGAAGTGTCTGCTCCCAGATGGGAACCCCCTCCCACCGCAGCACAGTGGTGCACAAAACACAATGGTGTACACAAGGGCTGGAAACCACCTTTGAGCATGCATTGCTGAACTTGTCAGACCATTTGTGATACAAGTAGAATTTAGTAAAATCTAGTTGTGGCTCTTTGTTGCCTGGAATTTAATTTATTTTTCCTTCTGTGCCTTTTCCTCTGCAACCAATAATTTTTCATTTTCTGCCTCTATCAGTAGAACAGACAAGACAACCTGAAATGGGTTCATCACTGTTCCTCACTGTTCAATCAAACACAGAACAGGAGAACAATAATAAATAAATCTATCCAGCAAATACAAGCAAACCATGGAGACATCAAAGCATCTATTTAACAAATGTTGTGGATTTCAGAGTCAGGTTACCAAACAGAGTATCAGATCACAAGCTTTCAACAAGCAATAGAGGAAGGGGAAAACTCAGAAAAAGGTTTTTTCCCCACTAAAAAATTACATTTTCCTAGCAAGGAACAAACCCCCAGCTTATCTGCAAAATCTTTATCTACAACTGAATGTCTGTCTGTCAGCATGAACAGGTAAGTACAGAAGCAGAGCACCTTGCTGCCACAATTAGAAACTCAAACAAAGGACAGTCTGAACTGACACAGGGAACCTCTCTGAAGATTTTCCCACTTGGGAGGCTAGAAAAGCTCTTTCAAAACTGATTTCCCAAGACCAGCAGGATCTGCAGGCTAAAAAATCCTGTTCCAAATGACTATCAGCTCCACACTGAGCATGCAGTTCATATAACTACTTTCGGGAAAATAAGTAGCTGTTCCATGCTCCATCCTCCTCTCTAAATACCAGCTTTTCTGGAAACAGGTGATTTTTAGTCCTGGATACCTGGTGAAAACTTCACTATGACTAGAAAGGAGAATTCTGTCTTCTTTTTTTTTTTTTTTTTTTTTTTTTTTTTTTTTTTTATGTGGAGTCCTGTCCTTTTTTCAAAAAAGATCATTATAATAATTATTACTATTATAATTACTGTCCATGAAGTATCAGGGGATACCAACAACCTCTAGTATTGCAGGAGATCGTTTAAGCGTTAGAAAGAACAAATACCAAATAACGCTCAGAAATTTCTCATCCACAAACCTCAGTCCTCTTGATACTTCCAAAGAAGGAATGAAGCTGTAAATTCCTAGCAGTTTATGTTCCTATTCCTGTTTCAGAAAGAAAGTGTGACCCCTTCAAAGCCTGCACGGAGGATCACACGGGAATCGGCGGGTCCCGCTGCCGGGGCAGACCCTGGGCAAGCAGCATCCCCCTTCCCAGGCAATCCAGCGGCAGGGCCGTGGAAAGCTGTAAACCACAGCCCCCCTGGGCTCTGGGGCTGGCTGGGGACAGAACTGGGCACCTGACTCTTACAGAATAATCCACAAATTTCACCTCCACAGATTTCCTCGCTGAGCACTTGGGCGGACACAGAAGAGGAGAGGGGCGTTCATGGATTGACTGCAGGAATAAAACGAGCGGACAACGAAACGCTTGGGAATACGAACTTCTGGGAGGGACAGGTTAAAGCAACGGGAGGTATGAATTATTCTGGCGATACACCGAGGTGTGTTAGCAGCACGGGAGCCACGCCGGGCACCGCTGGGAGCCGGGGGGCTCCGGCAGCTCCTGCCGAGGGCCGGGGTCTCACCGTGGGGCCGGGCCGGGATGGGCGGGCCCCGCCCGGGGAGGTGCCGGGCCGCACTTCCTCAGCGCCGCGGAGCAGCGGCCGAGCATGGCCCAGCGCCGGGAGCCGCTGGAGCGGGAGCTGCTGGCGCTCGGGTAAGGGCACCGCGGGGCCCTGGGGACAGCCGGGGGGCTGGCGGGACGGGAGCTGCGGCTCCGGCTACTCGGTGTCTGGTGAGTGAGGATGGGGAGGGGACGGCGGGTCTGTCTGAGCGAGGCCCCAGGCGCTCCGGTGCTGTACCCAGCGCCTCGTCCCGGTGATGGATGAGGGTGAGAGACTGGCACGGGGGACCCGGAGAAATAAAGAGTAGTTAGAAAACCGAGAGGACGGGCACACGGTTCGAATGCAGTGGGGAGCCGGTGGCAGGGGTGCGCCTTCCCTCGGAGAACCTCTGTGGCCTCGAAGCCATCGCCGTGGGAAAGAGCCCAGGGTGTGCCGTGCCACTTCCCTGCGTCTCCAAGGAGCACCAAACCCACACCTGCCCTCAGATCCCTGCCCTCCCTGTGCCATCCCTTCCGCTGCCTCCCTGGAGCTGGGCTTGGGCCCTCCAGAGCTGCCGTCCTTGCTGGGCCCCGGGAGGCAGCAGGATTCCCAAAGGTGCCCGGAGCATCGGGAGGGACAGAGCGGACAAGTCACAGCCACTGTGACGAGGACACCATGCTCACCGAAAAGCAAAAACCCGGGAGCGAAAAGGAAGGCTGAAGGTTGCAACAGACCTTGTTCCCTGTCTTACGTGGCTCGACCATTTTTTCTGCCAGTTAGTTTTGGTTGTTGCAGGAGGAAGGCTTGGGTCCCTTTGTCACCGGCAGCAGTGCCGTGGGCAAGGAGGAACACGGGCAGGAGGAGCAGCACGGGTGGGCACAGGCAGAGTGGGAACAGTGGCAGCAATGCAGAGGGGAGGCAAGGCAGAAGAAAGGCCAGTGATCATTCTGACAAAGCAAAAGGGCTCTGGTGTCAGCTCTGCATTAAAAAGAACTGATGAAAAAAGTACAGGTGTTTTGCTTCCCGAGTATTTCTGGATTCGGACCAATTCATTGCTTATTTTTGCAGTTCATTGACTTGGTAATTCCAAGCTACTTTGTTGCACTCAGATTTGTTCACTATCTCCACACTGGTGCTACTTTCCCATATTTAAAAGAACCTTTCAATGAAATGCCTGGAAACTGAAGCACCTAACAGGTAGGAAATTCAGTGAAGTCACTTTGCAGTGGTACCCAGAGTAGCCATTTTATAATTTTTCTTTACATCTGTAAGATTATGCTCATCCTAAAACAGAGTCTACAGGGAAGAAGGAAAGAAAAATTAGTTGCAGCTGTTGTAGGAAGCATGATTCCCAATTACCAGACTTTTACTGATTTCCACAATGTGGTCTGAGTTAATATATGCCAGAAACATTAGCAGCAAGGAGTTCATTCTCATAGACAGTCTTGTAGAAATACAGCTTAATGTGGTACCTAATGTGGTATCCATAAGAAGGAAAGAGTACAAATTAGAAGGCTACAAATATGCATTTTTAAAGCTGTATCTTCTTTATTTTACTTCCACTTCAATGGAAAACCTAAACTTTTCACCCTTCCACAGAACACTCAGCATCTCCTTCAGGGAAGTGTGTTGAGTTTAATGCATTAAAGTTGAATAAGCAATGCCAGATAAAGAATCCCTTCAAATTATTAAACAAGGCCCTTTCTTTTCGCCTAGTACTGAAGCCACTTTTCTTCCCCCCCTTTTCTTTTTCTAAAGATGCAAAAAGAAGCCCTTGTACAGCAGACATTCTTATAGCATAATCTGAAAGATCTCTTAATGTAAATACTTTTCCAGCCATGACAAATAAGTGTATCACTCTCCAGACCATACAATGAAATTTTCAGTAATCACAAGGGTTTTCCATCCTAAACTTAGCCCCTTCTCACAGTGCAGAGCTCCCATGACAGGTGATGCAGTGTCCAGCACAACTGAGACCCAGTCCTGGTGAGGAGCGTGTGTCCAACAGAGACAATGGTCATTCCAATGAGAAGCAGCTTCAACATTCACATATCTTTGGGGGGGAATTTGAAGCAGTTTATTTTAAAGCTTCTGCTTTCTGGTACAAAAATCAAAGAAGTTGGATAAGGTTTAAAGAAGTGTGAAATGGGAAGGACTTTACTCTTAAGAGAAAAAGCTGAGTACCAGGATATGCTCGTAGTTTACCAGGTTAGCTGCTCAACAGAATGGAAACTTGTCGGGAAAATTCAGATTACAGTCAGCTTCGTTGTATTGACGTGTATATAAGTGGACCTAATGCTTAATGAAGAGGAAGATCAAAAGCAGAAGACGTTGTTAAAAACTTGTTGCCTCACCCATTAGCTTCGTCCCTAAATCTACCAAAATGTTTAAAGGGAAACACTGAAGTTTGCAAAAAGGGACACAAGCACCTTGGCTTAAAAGAGAAGGAAGCTGACGGAGGGATTCTCCTCTGAAGGGCTCTGTGGTTATTGCTGGAGTCAGTCCCTTTTGCAGTGCCTTTACTGCTGTGAGAGCCGAGGCGCAGCCAGAGGCAGCAGCGTGGAGCTCCGGGGCTGAGCACGGACTGCCGGGAATTCCGCTGCTGTTTGCGCAAGAGGGGAGAATGTGGAGGATCCCGTCATCCCGGTAATTACAGGCAGCTCTGGCAGCACAGCTCCCATCCCAATACAGCTTAGCCTGGGTGACACTTTGTTTATCAAAAGTGAAAGGCACAGGGCAAGAGAAAGCAAAATTTTGTAGCCTTTTTTTCCTTCTACAGTCCAAACTTAATCTTTGTCACCCCTTGCAGCAGAACTTTTATGCCCTTTCAGGTCTGACAATACCATGACAGGTGATATTTGTAAGGCTGGACAATACATTCCATGCTTAGTTTTAGCAACAGAAGATAAATTGAGCCACAGGCCTAGATCAGGTGATAATAAAATTGTGAAACTGAGGAACATGTTAGGCTGGAACAGGGTAAATGGTCATAAGAATTTTTTTATCTCTGTTTTATAATTTTAGGAAGATAAAAATTAAAGTGACTAGAAAGTGGGCCAGATAATGGGTGAAAATCAGAATGAAGGCAGTTAAAAGAAGGGGGAGTGAAAATGGAAGTGAAAAGCAGAAGATGAACTAGTGAAAGTCTACAGTTAGAAGACAAACCTTAAGACTGGATACAATGACGTTATTTCTGCTTATTTCTATTTTAAAATTATTTTCCCCCATATAATGGCCTCCTTGTATTCCAGCAAAGTACTTTACACAGATTTGTGAATTTCAGTGTAACACATTGAAAGGATGTCTATAAATACTAATTTGGTTGACTGACATCTGTAGCTTGTCTTAGCTTTGTTGCCCTTTTGGAGATTCTCTACAGCTCTGTCAACTCATGCACCATTAAAAACATGGCCAAAACTTCACTTTTAGTGATGTGAGGTACAGAGAACCCTTTTGCAATTTTCAGATGATGGGCAATGCTTCTAGGGTGTGATATTAGGAAAAAAAATTAAAATCCCAAAGTACTAAACTTGACAGATAAGAGCTGGAAGTTGCTGAAATACAGATTGCCAAAAATAGAGAACTAGTGAGTCAGTTTTACAGTCATTTTTGGAGCACAGGCGTGTGAAGAACATTGCATCCATCCAGAGGAGATAAGTCAGTGCTTTCCCAGACACTCCATCGAGCAGTGCTGGGGACTACTGCTTTAACCTAAGAGTGGGAATACATCTTTGAGGTTAGAATATAGTTTCAAAGTGTAAGTAAATTCAACTCCTTGTGGTAGAAGATATATTTCATTAAATAAAAAAAAAAAAAACAAAACAACAAAACATAAAGCTTGCCAGCATCTACCACCACAAAAAAACCCCACAAACAAACAACAAAAAATCCAGTCAAGCAACTGAGGGTAAATAACTCCTGTGAGCACTATGGGAGTGAAGTCCTACTGGGAGCTCATCTTCCCAGTAGCCTGGGTTGTTGTTGCCTTTCAGAGGTGGACAAAGGATAAATTGGACTTGCTGTGTTCCTGCTCGGCTCCTGCAGCTCAGAGAGCCCGAGTGCTTTCCCCCACCACATGGCACCAGCAGTATTGCCCCTGCTGCAGCAGGGAGGGAGCTGCTGGGAAGAGTGCACAGCTCACCCAGCTGAACACCAAGAATCTCCTTCTTGCTTCACAGAAAGGACTTTGAATTGCTTGACTTATCCACAAAAGCAAGCCAAACATGCACACAGTTTCTGATTCTATCCAGGCTACACCCGCCTGAGAACATCTGATAAGGACACAAAAACCAAGTGTGACCTCTGCCTACTGCATTAATCTGGTAGCTGGGCATACTGCAGAGTTATCACTCCAAACACTTGCACCAAATAGCAGCCCAGAACTTCCAGCTGTGCTCTCTTGTGCTACTATCTTTCATTTTTGTGAGGAAGAAAAGCAAGTGTTTCTACTGGATGTTACACAATTTGCACATTAAAATGGCTCAGAAGAGAATTATGCAAGTCAGCATTCACCCTTTCATGGATGAGTGTTTGTGTTCCTTGTGTATTGTGTTATTGTTAAAAAGTTTATCCACCTGATGCCAGCTACAAGTTTATTCAGCAGCCCCTATATACACAGGCAGATTTTTTTTTTTTTTTTTTTTTTGCAAAATATCCAGGTGCTTGCTTTGAAAACAGCATTATCATAACTGATAGATGCCATACCTAAGGGCACTCATCTGCAGGAGACACAGAAATGAAGTTTCATTAACATTTTTCATTGGAACAGCTTGGGTTGTTAAAGAATGAATGAACATTTTGAGGATGATGTTCTAACCTGAACAAAGAGTTTCCCACCCCAGACTTTGCTGTAACATATTCCTGATCTTCACTATGGTGTAGGTAGCTCTAGCTGCTGCATTAACTACAGAGAGATCTTCCAAAGAAGAGATTTTAGCATGAGTGCATCCTGTCTGGAGGGACAGATCTTCAGGGCAAGGCTGAGTGCTCTGATGGGTTTGGGCATTCTGGGGCACTGGGTGTTTCACTTCCTTCTCCTTCCTGTAAAAGCCATCAGTGAAGTCCTTCCTCTATGCCATCACCAGTGCAGTGTGGCATAAACAATAGGCTGATGTCTGGAAATGGTTTCTTTTTCAAAGGGTAGCAAAAGTGGTCTCAGTGGCTGTGCTTGCCCACCCTAAGACATACCTTCACTGGCCATTCCAAAGAGCAGGAAGGATGGCATGGCCATTCAACCACACACAGTGACAGCACAAGCCTGCTTACATGGGTGGGGTAAAGAGATTTAATGCCATTTAGGATGAAGTTAAAGCAACAAGAATGGATAAATTATGGCAGCTATAAACTCTGAGCCCAAGATTGCTAGTCAAATTGTGGAAATGGAACCCCAAAAAGTTGACCACACTTTTTTTTATTAATAGAAGAAATGAAATTATTAGAAAAGAGAAACCTCCCAGAAGTATGTATACATACCAGGAGGGTGTACAAGGCCAAGGGCAGCCAGAAGTGGGGTTGAAGCAAGGAAAGAATTTCATCTATCTTTCTTCTTGTGTTTCTCAGAGAAATCTCAATCAAGAACCTCAGGCAATTTTTACAGTAATGATGGCTTTCAGTCTGAAAGGTGTCAAAGTACAGAGCAGATTTCTGGACTTGTTTTGTAGTGAATACAAGACTCTGTAAAGGTGACTTTTGGAGGCACCTTCAGAAACATCCCGATTATCCAACGTTATCCAGCATGTTCAAAACCAAAGATTTAAGACAATTCACCTTATAAAGGACTTTTAGGGGCTTCAAGGAGATGGATGTTTGTAAAGCATTTTAATTTCCTTTATGTCTCGTTTTAAGACAGCAGGAAGGTTGATACAGTATTGTGTTTTGTATCAACTGTTTCCTGCCCCAGTGTAACTCAGAAGACAACCTAAACTTCACCTGAAGGTGGTCTGCCTTTTACAGTTTTGCCAAATGAGGCATAAATCCCATCTTGAATTGCTTGCCAATTTCAAAGAACTGCTTATAAGTCTTTTCTGAGACAGATAAATAGAAGGATTCTCCCTGTGAAAAATACTTAAATTTACCAGAAGTATACCTAGTAGTGTCTAATCACAGGACGTTGGGGATTAGTTTTGCTAGAGGAAAAAAAATTGGATTGGATTTGACAACTGCTCTCGATTTTCCAAATTACTTGTACTGTCAACTCAGGCTTGATTGTGAGAGCAGACTGTATAGGTGAGTATTTGTTTACCTTCCTGGTGGTATGTCATGCAAGTTCTAAAATTTCTTCAGCATTTTAATATTTTACCTGTGTTTATGCAATTGGAACAAAGTTTATGTGACTATTTTCACAGTGGAATATCAAAGTAACCTGATCAAACCATCTATCACAGTCAGGAAGAGTAAAACCCCAAAACTACACGTAGCAGTCCCTTTGACACCAAGATCTGCATTACTGTCTCCCATCCACTTCTATTTTTTGAGCTGAAGAAGAGGAACATAGTAACATTTGAGGGACTTTTGTCTGAGACAGCATATTTAGGCAAGAAACTGCTACAGCCTTGTCAGCAAAGTTTTAAAAGTGTGCTTTCAAACAACATTATTTCCCCAATTAAGGGGTTTATTGTTGGTTTCTGGTGTATGTTTTTTTGTTTTTTTTGTTTTTTTTTTGCGTAGTAGTAACATTGCATTAGTCACTGGTCTTTTATGTGTAAAGAGAGTGTGAATTTAAACACAGCATTTTTTAAACTTAACTGACTTCTCTTTCAAAAGTTTAGTAAAGGGGTGTTTTTTGGAAATAAGGTAACAGCACAGTTATGAGCAACATCAAACTAAATCTGCTTCCTTCCTGACAATGACCACTCACAGATTTTCTCAGCATCTGCTTCTTTTGCACTGAAGTTAGCCAAACAGTGTGAGGAAATCCCACCCAAAACACAGTGCAGCATTCTCAGCTGCAGGTCTGGCCATGCTGGGACCATCCTGCCACACCAGGAATGACCTGACCTTTGCCTGTTCCTTCCTTGGGCAGTTAATCCCAAAGCGGATTTTGGCTAACAGGTGTTCCAGAGGATGACACTTTGACTCTTTAAATATTCATTATTTTATTCTACTGTGTAGATGGACCACATTCTAGAGCCAAAGCAGCAATGCCCTGCCTGTATTGAGTTTCACATGGATCTTCTCTTCCTCTGGGTTAACAGCCTGGAGTCTCTCATAAAGCAATTCATCAGCCAGCTGGCCTTTCAAATAGGCAGCCGTCCAAATCCAGAGCTAAAGCTTTGTGTGAGGTGCCAAGTTTGGTGGAAATTTGGGATGAACAGCTAAGGAGAAAGAGGATACAGTTACACCTGGTTTCATTTCTAAGACTGCCAGGTTACAAGCTGTGGAAAGTGCTGCCATGGCACTAATGCTTTCAGGGGAACTATTTCTTTGGCTGAAGCAGTGACAGGCTTTGCTCCCAATGTTGCAGGCATTTAAAAGGAAGGGAAAGGTGACACGGCACCACTCCATACACAGCAAGGGAAGCTTGCTCCCAGCAGAGCCTTGGGTGTGTTATCCCTCCCTCTTTCTGCTCCAGAGGCTCGTGTGTGTGCATGGCTATGGTTCTTATCACATGCCTTGCAGCATTTCAGCTCCAACCTTTTACAGCACCAGCTTTTTGTGCTCAGTCTCAGGCTCATTTCTAGTGAGATCTTGTTGAAAATTGGGTGTTTCCATTGTGGAGCATTCTGAATGGAAACAAACCTATAAACTACACTTCCTGGACTTCTTTGCAGGGCTTTCTCCCTGTGAAGTCCTTTCAAAACTTTTGATATAAAAATGAAGTTTATTTTCACTGAAGATAAATTGAAACAGTGTTTAAATGTTTTCTTTTGTTGCTCAGATCACAGGTGGCCAAGAGGCAACAATGGCAAGCTATCTTAATTTTCACTGAAATTTTGTCAGTTAATTTTGTTCCCTTTAATTCTAAACTTAGGCAGGCACGTTTAATTGCCATTCTTGGCAGAGAAGACACGTTGAAGGAAATACAGAATTTATGAGGAGTTTAGGCACTGCCTGTTTGCCCAGAAGGGGATGTGTACCAAAGAACATACATATGTCAGGAAGTGCAGCTTCTGAAAATAGACAAAGGATCCTCTATACCCCCCAAAGCTGCTTTCACCTTATCAGCACAGACCTGGGTAATCTGTTGCTCATGCAAGCAGAACTGGCAGGGTTTTTAGATCCAGAAAAACACTCAGCTGTTTGTACACAACTTTGTGTTAAGGAAAAATAGTTTTTGACTGTGTCAAAAGATGCCCACTGCAAGAGGCACAGATCTGTGTAAACTGCGAGTGCCTGCGAGGAGGGTGACAACTCAAAATTGTAGAGGAAGGACTGCAATTAACACTGCCTTTTCTAACCCTGCTCCAAAAAGCAGCACCAGAGTGAAAGGTGCTGTAACCCCTTGTGTCCCCCCAGGTGGTACCATGACAATCTCACCCGGCATGCTGCAGAAGCACTGCTGCTCTCCAACGGGCAGGATGGGAGCTATCTTCTGAGGAAGAGCAATGAAAGGGAAGATCTGTACTCCCTCTCTGTAAGGTAGGCTATGGACAGGGTGAACTAATCTAATGCTGCACTTACTTCCACGTTTGAATGTCCCATGCATTACAGGTTTTTCTTTTTCCCTAGGGCTTAAACTATTTTGAAATATATTCCTTTTGGTGTAATCCCACTGAATGACATTTTGCAAGAGGAAAAAAAATGGATTGGATTTGACAGCTGCTCTCATTTTTCCAAATTATGAATTAATCTTATTGATAGAAAACATAATTCTATAGAATGGCTGTAAATTTTCAGTCTGCATGATAAAAATCTGCATGTCATTTAAAAGAGCTTAAGAAACAGCTGGTGGGAATAGAAAAGTTTTATGATGAGGACACCAGCAAACACTTAACAGGTGCTAATCTTACTAGTTTCTGAATCTCTGTATAGGAACCATCACCTCTGAAGGATGATCCAGGGTTTGGCTGTTTTACTCCTCTGTTCTGTGCTAAGGTTCGGTCTTAGCCAGGTCTGGGTGACTAAATTGAATAGCACCTTGAAGGGCCTTGAAGTCAATTACAGCAGTTTAGGACACAACTGTTCAGGATACAGCCAAAGAAGAGGAAGTCTGGCCTGGTTACTTCACTATGGAATCACATTTAAAGAGTCTCCTAGAAGGAGAGAAGCCACAGCATTTTATTGAGGAAACCTAAGGACACATGCATGAGACACACAAGGTACTCGCTGCACATTGGCTGGTTAGAGGTAACCAGCCCTAAAAACATGTGCAATCTTTGGCAACTGTGTGATAAAAGCAGCCTCTAGACCAAAATTTTAAACTGGTGCATGCAGGCTGATTCCTGCTGCAAACTGAGCCTCTGAACAATTCATGACCACCACTCAGCTGAATCACAGTAACTTTCTAAAGTCACTTTGATCAGTGTAATGCTGCTGGTTATTTCCACCCCTGACAGGGGCACAGCATGTGCCCTTGAGATTGTGGCTTTCTGCATATTCAGTACCAGGAGCTGTTACAATCTGGAAGAGCAGTTGCTTGGGAGCTGAGGAAAGTCTGATTTGCACATACCCTGTTCCCCAGGAAAGGCAACAATGAGGTCTTTGACCCACTTCTGACAGAAGATCTAGGAGCAAGTGTGCCTATACACACACTGTTGAAATTATTTCCACTATAGGCAGCCATTTATACAAAGGGTGCCCTACAGATCTGCAGGTGATGTTACAAAATGAGTATTCAGACTAGCAATAACTGAATTCAGTGCAAGTGTTGCCAAAAAGAACAGTGGCATTTATAATCAATAGCTTTCCTTAAAAAAAATATAATAATTTTAAGTAAATAATTGTTTTTCTGGTTAATATATTTTTTTTTTACTTTAAAATATTAAGCATTATTTGAGGTAGCTACCTCAGCTAATTAAAAATATATATATATATATGTATCTTGAAGGTAGTTTTAAAGGGCATTCAGGAAACAACTTATTGTAATAAACCAAAATTTAAATAGTTCTTTTAATAGGAAACACAAGTGCTAATTAATGAAAATAAATTTGCTGCTTGACTAGATTCTAGCCTTAGAAGACCTACAAAAGTCTGTTTCAGGTCCATTCCAATCTCTTGTTCAGCTCTTCATATAGTGAGAATTACTCACTGCATTACCATGTGAACTGAATAGCCCAGTCTGAAGTTTGGTCTTTTATTCTGTTCTGCTAGTTTCTCTTGTTACATCTCCTGTGAATACTGATATTGATTTTAAAAAGTTTTTCAACTTTTCTACTGGTTAACGTTATGTCTTCTTTCAGTTTTTTGACTAATATTAGAAGTTAATAGTAGAATAAGTAATTCAGTTTTTTTCTGATACATTTCTGTAGAAAAGATAACTTCAGCAATTCTAGCTGTCCTTTTCCTTCTGTCCTGAAATATCTTCTGTAGCTTTTACTTTATTTTCTGCCTCAGCCTCAGAAGGAACTTTGGTCATGATTATAGCTTGGGGTTTTTCAAGGAAAAACTGCTTAGCCATCCCTTGAGGTTTTTATTGACAGCTGTAGGAAGAGAGATCACTTATTCCCTGAAATCCCCTCCCCCAGTTTGAAAGGGAAGTAGGAAGCAGAGTAGAATTTGCTCTCATTGCAACATTATCTTGAGAAATTAAACAAAAAGATGGAAATGCCTGTAATTGCAGCAGAGTCACAGCAGCTCTCCCCTGGCATTGAGCATTTGCACTTGGCTTGTTGTGCCTCAGCTTACTGTAGCACAAAACATGTGGGAGGCCCACAGAGGCCTTCTTCTGTTTTCTACAGTACCATAAATACTGCTCAAAGATAAATCTTTAAATACCAGTTTGAAACCATAATCTTCTTTGGAACTGGCAATGAACAATGAAAGAGATGCTATAATTAATTTTCTTCACCACACTTTTCCGGTATATTTGCTGTGTAAGTTTTTGCTCAGACAGTTTGCATTGGGTGCTAGTAACATTAACAAAAGTCTCTTTTCCACTGGAGAAATACTTGCAATAAGTGCTTCACTGTCCTTTGAAGTCAAAACAATCGCCTACCCAGGAAGTGAGACCTTGCACACTTCTCTAAATGCCATCAGGTTTCATAAACAAAAGCTGTCACTTCCCTTAGAGAACAAGGACCCAGGTTCATGTTTGTCAGTGCCCATCCTAGTGGAACCAATCATCCAAATACAGAGACAAAGCAAACAACTGCTAAAGCCTTAGGTATTTAAAATAAGGTTATTAAACCTGTTTGGGTGCAAAACAGAGACAGCCTGTTTTTCAAAGGGAAACAGAAGACATTTTCAGCGAGATTGGGATGCTGCTTGAAGAGCAAGACACATACTGAGTACACCCTCAAGGCTGAAGCCCAGTAAGTGAAAGGATTTAGGCAGAAGGCTTGAAATCTCTCTAGTGAGTCTTTTTGTTGATGCAAGAGTTAAATTGACCCGCTTGGCCTTTCTAGGCTGTGATCATCTCATATCTCTAAGTCAGCAACTACAATCTGATTTTCAGCTGTGTTGAGTGAGGGACAGTAATGGCAGTAGTATCACTACTAGGACAGTGGTTGGCAGCCTGTGACCTGGGGCCCTGCAGTGAAAGATGCTATTTAAGGATTTTATCTGCAAAATGCCTTTGGCATTTATATCTTGACAAATCTTCCTCTTTTATTTTAGGGGTAAAGACTCTGTGAAACACTTCCATGTTGAGCACACAGGAACTTCATTCAAATTTGGATTTAATGAATTTTCTAGCTTGAAAGAATTGGTCATGCACTTTGCAAACCAGCCTTTAATTGGAAGTGAAACAGGTAAGGAGAGCCATATTGTGTGTGTGAACACATTTGTAGCCATGCTTCACAAAGATCTAACTAAAAGGATCTTTTCTGTTGTGCTAGCAAATAGATCTTCTCCTAAAGTGTTCATAAATTCACATTTGTATTTGTATCTAAATCAATTCCCCTTCAAAAAGTCTTTCAAGTTCTTTGAAGATAAACCACACATAAGCTTATTGGGCTTTTGCTAACCAGGGCTGTGAGCTCCTTTCAGTTTCTCAGAGGAAGGAGGATTTCAAAATATCAGGAGGAGTAGAACATTCTCAAAACCAGCAAAACCAAAGCACAGTGATAGTGAGGAAATAAATATTCATCTATGAACTTGAAATCCCCCAATAAAATAAATAGAAAAGTGACTTGAAATGGTTTCATCTCACAATTGTTTGTCCAAGGAAGGAGCCTACAGTGTTATGCTCCTCCTTTCTGTAGGGAATGTGTTTTTAACCAGCTCTCCTGTCCTGCCTGCAATGCCATCACCATGCTGATGCCATCTGCCATCACAGTGATTTTTCTTGCTTTTAAGAGGAGAGAGAAAACCACAGGTTTCTTTATCAACCAGTGTTCTGGCTGAATTAAAGGGTCAAAATATTAAACTTGATTCCTACAAGAATTGAACACCATCAGGCTAGAATCCCTGGAGAAACAAAGTGGATATTATCATGGCAATGTCAGTTTTATGGTTAGCTTCGAGTGTAAGAGATGAAGAGACGTCAGTACAAGTTAATGCCAAAACTTCAGTGTCCTCTGTGGCAAGGGTATGCAAATAACTCAGAGCAGTGCTAATGATGTATGCAAGAGCCCAGTTAAATCATAGCTGGCACATGCAATAACTGCAACTTGTCACACACTAAATCTGCACCAGTACTCTGCTAACCCAAACATTAAATTCAAGGGCTCCTTTGCCAATTTCTCCCCTCAAGAAAAATGCTGTTCTACACTCAATATAGCACTTGTATCTTTCAAAACACTCTTTTTAAGTTGCTTTCAAGAGTGGTTCAAACACAGAGCTCCCACATGTATGATCTGTGCCAGTGAGCTATTTTTCCTGGGAAATCAAGCATGCACCCACAGGCCTAGCCCTGTAAAGATTTCAGATGACATAAAACTTGTATTTCCCCATTCCTCACTCCTTCACTGCATGTGTAACAGACACTAATAAGCAAGACATTGGTTTTATCTGATCTCTATGGATGAGATTAACACTTGCTGCCATAAGGTTTCCTAATCAGATTCTGCTGGCTCTGTGAAACCTCTAAGCCAGATGTGCTACAAAATTTAAAAAAAAAAATGGATATCTTATCAAGAAACCTTCCGCCTTAAAATACCATGGAAAACAGTAGAGGGGAAGAGAGAATTAACACTCAGGCACTAGTCCTTCAGATACAGGTGTCAAATTTCTCGTGGGTCATAACCATGTTTTGTCAAAAATGGGGTAGGGGCTCATCAGAATCAACTCCAATCCAAGCATCAGCAGTTGCAGACATGGCAGAATAATCTTGCTACAGTGCAGCTGTTGCTAGATCTTGTGTATAAGTACCAGATTATTCTGTACAATTGTCTTTGTGGAGGAAAAAAAAAAATCCACAGAGAAAAATATTGTATAAAATGTTATATTAGTCCTTCTATTTCTGCAATGTAGCTTTTTATCCATGGGGGACAGATGATGATACCCTGATTCTGTGCAACAGCTCAGGAGTAGTTTCTCTGGAACGGTGAAGGAGCTGTTCTCAATTTTATTTTAAATGGTAAAGTGTAATTTTTCTACAAGGCCAGATAGAAATAAACTAATATTGACTTTCCACCTACAGCAAGTTGAATAGATCCCATTTGCATACACCCCCTGTGCCTGCAAACAGATTTCAGCTGGTTACTTCAAATACAATTTTTCCACTTCTCTTTTTAGCCCCTCCCATTACAGAATACTTTTAAATTACTCATACATCTGTAGGTTTCAAGTCCAAGTTGCTTCCAGTTCTAGCATCCCTCTTCTTTAAGAGCTGCAATATCAGCATAAAATGCAAATGGAGCAGCATTTGGAATGCTGTGACATTATTTTTAAAGAATGAAGTTAGATGGTGGAGCAGTTATTTCAAAGATGTTCTTGAAAAGTACAATAGTACTATTGTACTAAAAGTACAAAAATACTATTTTGAAAAGTACAATGCATTCACTATTGAGAATGCAGATTTTTTTTTCAGGGAACATGCAATAAACATGACCTTACTTGGAGAAAAAGAAGAATGGCTATAATGAAAAGATTACCTGGGAAGAGCTGTGGTAAGAACAGTTGACGTGGGTTTGCTGTTAGGAAGCCTGTAGCCAAAGCTCTGACAGATTAGGTGATTTAAGCACCAGCTAGTGGCATGTTGGCAAACCCCATGACTCCTGTGCCTCCTGTCTAGTTTAGCATCCTGCCCACCCTCCAAGCCAGCCTCTGGGGCAGGAAAGCAACTTGAAAAGTCAAGAGATTTCATGCAAGCATTTGCAAGGGTAAAGGTTTGAGAAGGTACCATCTATTTACAGTTTTCACAGCTGCCTTTTTAATTTTAGGAGAAGGTGAAATAAACCATTCCTCAGAAATGTAGCTACTGACAAGTTATTTTCTAAGCTGGACTTGACAGATGGATGACTCCTGCTCTTTTCTGTCCAGGAACTTTAATTGTTTTGAAGCATCCCTACCCACGGCAAGTGGAGGAGCCCTCCATTTATGAGTCTGTGCGAGTTCACACTGCAATGCAGACAGGAAGGACAGAAAGTGACCTTGTCCCAAATGCTCCCTCAGTAAGTTGTGTTCTGGTGGGAGGGGTGCTCCTGGCCTGAGCCTAGCATGGTTGTTGGAGTGAGCTATGGAGTAAGGCCGGTTATTAATCCCTCTGTGGGTTTGTAAATACAGGAAGTCTCTGCCAAACAAGGCAAAGCAAATACAGACTTGCTCAGTACAGGCCCATGGCAAATAAAGGCTTTTATAATTGTTGTCAATACTGTCCCTGGAAAAACCTGGGTGAGTCTGACTATCCAAACAAAGAATCTGTGAAAGATTTTCATTCTCACATTATCTTTTAGAATAATTTATTTAGAATAATCATTATTAAAATTATCGTGAATTTTTAAAAAATGCATACAAAAAAAAATCATCATATACATTTGGGCCACCTATTTTGACATTTGAGACTCACTTGAAGAGCAGTTGGATTCTCTAAATCCCTTGTAACTCATGTCTAAGTGAGACAGGTGATTTCTCCAAAACAGTTTGCTCTGAGCAGAGAGGAAAGTATTTTAATTATATACTGTATTTTTGGGGGGAAGAGGAAGAATTATGTTAATATGGGTTAATGAAGTTGCAAGAAGAACCACTTCTGATATGTCTCACAACCAACCCTTCATCACCAAGTTACACTTAACCTCCAAAGAAGCTTGATTTCCGCACACCACCAATAATAAGGTAACATTTTTTCCAAGAACAAGCAGTAACTTGGCAATATTTTGATTTTCAGAGATCTCACAGCGAGTTCCCTACAGAGAATTTCAGTATCTAAGAAGTGATGAGGTCCAAGTGTCACTCATGATGCCAGAGAAACAGTTCAAACCCCAATTTTTCCAAAAGCACATTGAACATAACAGATTTTTCCTGTCCAGTGTGGGCCTGGTTGAGAGAAGAGAGCAGCTCAGTGAAACAGCACTTTCCCCTGGCTGCATTTGAGGAGCCTTTCCTGGGGATAATTCCCCGGTCAGTTGAACCCCACGTGCTCCTGGTCACACACCTCCAGGGACAGCCATCCAGCCTCACTTAATGAAGAGTAACTGAGCTGTTGTGGTGTGTTGGGCTGAGAAGGGCAGGGCAGGAGCTCCCTGGGGCAGGCACAGCCTGGGGGCTGCTCCGTGTTCACCCTAGGACAGCTGGATCAGCCCAGGGGCAGCACTGAAGTGAGGGCAAGGGGCTCTGGGGAGTTTCCCAAAGACCTAATGCATCTTCCCAATGTTGGCAAAGGGGGGGATGTGGGACATGGAAGCAGAGCTCAGCCTCTAACCACAATCCCTTTCTTTCTTTCTTACTTCACAGCTCGGTACCAAAGAAGGATATTTGATAAAACAAGGCAAAATAGTCAAGGTAAGGAAAGCTTACTTGTTGCTTCCACCCTGTGATCACCCACAGAAGCTAAAGACAGCATGGAGCTGAAAGTGCTCCACCTGTATTTCCCTGCAGAGAGGAACAATTTGTGTTTTGAGCAACAACAAAGCACAGCTGTAAACCAGGGCAAGCCAGCAGCTTTGAAAGTTTTTCTTTCCCCAAGAAGTTTTAGACTAAACTCTCGCAAAGCAGTTACCATTTGTTCTTGATCTTTCAGAACTGGAAAACAAGGTGGTTTACACTGCATAGGAATGAACTGAAGTACTTCAAAGACCAGACAGTAAGTAGCAAACAACAGTTCCCCCTTTTAAACATCTACACAGGCAGCTGCAGCCTCCTTGTCTCTCTGGCTTCTCACATCTGTATCACAGCTTTCCAAGCTAAAGCTTCCCAAACTGTCAGAGGGGTCAAACCTGTCAAGTAAAGTCAGTTTTGCTGATGACTTCAACAAGAGAAATTAAGTTTTATGTTTACTGTGCTCTGCCAGTCTTAGCTACTGGATAGAGTTTACAGGGATTTTTTGCAAAGAATCATGAAATAGTTTGGGTTGGAAGGAACCTCAAAGATCTTCTTCTTCCAAGCTCTCTACCACAGGCAGAGACACCTTCCACTAGACCAGGCTGCTCCAAGCCCTGCCCAACCTGGCCTAGAATACATTTTTGTTTTGCTTTGTAAAGTGGATTTTAAGCTACCAGCACAACACAACCTTTATTTGTAGCTCAGACAAATAAACTATTTTAGCAGCATGCTCTCAACCTGACAGAGAGCATGCTGCTAAAATAGTTCTGAAAATACTGGTAATATCCTTTGCATTCTTTGATTTCATCCTCTTATTTCAAGCGGTCTCACAGGATACATGAAAAACTATTCATTTAAAAATTCCTTCTGACAAAGATTAATCTGCAGCATCTTTACAGTTGCTGCTCCATTTCTATCGTGATCTGAGTAAAGATAAGAAACACAGCTGGAGTTTCTTTGCCCTTAAAATGCCTCTGTTTGAAGTTCCTTCATAAACACATGCACACTGTTTACCTCTGCCAAGCCCCATTTCAAGCATCTAACAGATTTTTACACAAGAGCCTTCTCTCACCAAACATTACCATTTCTAAACAGTTATGTTTTTGCAGGGCTTTCCACCAGTTTTCATTTCAGTTCAAGACAACTTGAGTTAAGTTTGCAGGATAGCATTTCAAAAAGCAGCACTCCATTAGTGACTTTTCAGGCAAGAAGAACTCCTGTGTTTGTCAGGTCTACAATCTCCTTCCAGGCAGCAGCTCCAGTGTCTCCTGGCACTCCTGTTGTTGCTGTGGGGTTGCAGGGACCTACAGATGGGCAGCTTGCAGCTAACCCTGGGATAGCTTTTGGTATCACACCACAGCCCAAGGGGCTTTCTTCTGATGTAGGGTGTTACTAACAGCCCCTGAGTCTGCAAAAATATTAAGGAAAGATGAGAGAGCAACAGACACCTCCATACACCTGATGAAGGACCATGAAAACAGCTAAGGGTGTTTGGGCAGAAAGCAATTCAGCTGTCTCTTCTGGGGCCTTAATGTGAGGCTGAAACAAATGGAGGAAGAGCTCTCACACTTAGGGAGAATGAAACTCCTGAGGGAGATGGGTTGCTGTTATGCACAATCCCTGTACCTGAGCTCCCCCAAAGAAATTTTTACACACACATATATGTATATGTGTGTATATGTGTATATGTGTATATGTGTATATGTGTACATGTGTGTGTGTGTGTGTGTGCACATGCTTCTCAGGCAGCCAAACCTATCACTTCTGCTTCAAGCACTACTTTGGCTTTACTTCTACATTTGTCCTGACCCAGCTTCATCCATTTAAGGCACTTAGGAATTAATTCAATCTCCAACAGCTGGCTGGTCTGATAGCACCCCCCCCCCCATACCCACGCCTTTGTCTCTGTAAACCTTGGCTGAAAGTGGTGCCAGGTTTGCTGCTGTGTCAGTCACATTACAAGGCATCAGCCAAACCCTCAGCAGCTCCATGTAGCTCAAACATTCAAAGATCTCCTCTGTTGCTTGTCCAGATGTGAACAGCCCTGCATTTTTTGTATTACGCTCACTTTGTATCATACCGCTGATGCTATGCTTGCTAGTTTGTGCTTATAGTGTTACAGCCATTAACTGGAAATGGCTGGAAAAACTTGTGGAGGTGCCTGTAAAAGTCTAGATGCACTGAAGATGAACTGACATAACCTTATCTTCTGTTTTCATGTGTCCACATTTTAAAACATTTTCTCTTCAAGGCTACGGAACCAATTCGAGCACTTGACTTAACTGAATGCTCAGCTGTGCAATTTGACTATTCCCAGGAAAGAGTCAATTGTTTCTGGTAGGTTGCAGGATTTTCTCCATGTTGCTGGGAAGTTCAAAGGGAATTTTGAAATATAAACAATGTGTGTTTCTGAAAGGTCCTTTGGTGGTTGTGACCCTGCTCATCCTCTAACTCATAAGTCTCTTTCTGTCAGACAATCTCTGTCAGTCCTGCATGGCTTTGCCAAATTGCTACTGGCAAAAGGTGGGCCCGTGTGTAGTGGGCATTTCTAATTCTGTGAGCATCTATAATCATCACCTAGACTCATGGATGTTGGGGTCAGACATTGATACAGGTGACATGGTGACCTCTTCTTGCCCAAATGTGGGTCTTTTATCCTTAGAAGGGTCCTTGTCCTTAAGGACCCTGGGCTGTAAAAGGCTGTCACCCATTCTTGGTTAATCTCCCTCCTGGTGGCTGAAGGGGAGCTCAGCCTCCCTGTCCTGCTCTGTCTCACCAACTGCTGGCCAGCTGGGCTCAGTTTTGGGGAGAACTGCCAGTTGTCCTAGCAACTTAAGAAAGCTTTGTTTGCTTGCAGTTTAGTGTTCCCACTGAGGACATACTACCTGTGTGCAAAAACGGGGATAGAAGCTGATGAGTGGATTAAAATCCTGCGGTGGAAGCTGGTAAGGTGATGTGTGTTGCTACTGCCAGCACAGCCCCCCAGGACTGGGGCACCCAAGGGCTACAGCTCGCAGCACCTCCAACAAGGGAGAACTTGCTCTGGCTGCCAGGCCAGCTAGATTGGAATATGCATTTTCACATAATCACAGAATCAATTAGGTTGGAAAGGACCTCTGAGGTCATCAAGTCCAACCTTTGATCAGTCACAGCCTTGTCAACTAGACACTGTGGCATTGTCATGGCCACACCCTGTCTTTTCTTAAGCACCTCCAGGGATGGTGACTCCAGCACCTCCCTGGGTGGCTCATTCCAATGTCTAACAATCCCTTCTGTGAAGAAATTCCTCCTGATGTCCAGTCTAAACCTCCCCTGGCACAGCTTGAGGCTGTGTCCTCTCATCCTGTCACTGGTTGCCTGGGAGAAGAGACCAACCCCCAGCTGGCTCTCCCCTCCTTTCAGGGAGTAATAAGGTCACCCAGAACCTCCTCTTCCCCAGGCTAAACACCCTCAGCTCCATCAGCTGCTCCTCATAGGACTTATGAGCTAGCCCCTTCCCCTCCACTGCCCTTTTCTGCAATCAGGCACCTTCCTGAACTGAGGCGCCCAAAGCTGGACACAGCAGTCGAGGTGTGGCCTCATCAGTGCCACGCACAGGGGCATAATGTATCTCTCTGCAAACACACTTCAGCATTTTTGGGATGCACTTTTACAGGCACACTCATTTGTAAGAAAAAATTACTTCCATCTCTAAGAATGTCATTACGTGTGCTTGGTAAACAATGCTGATCATCAGCCCAGACTGCGTGTCCTGGGTCATGATGGCAGGAATGAGGAGACCATGTAAAGGCTTGAAAGCACTACTTCCTATAAAACTTGCAGGAATTGGGTGGGTTGTACTCACCCCCATGCACACAGCCAAGCAGTAATTAATGGGCTGTGTTTCTGTTGCAGTCACAGATACGGAAGCAGCTGGAGGAGCGCAGCGCCACCCTCAGTTCCTAACGCTGTGCCAGCGCTCCTGCTCCGCGGGCAGGAATTGCCTCTCTCCAAGGGAAGGCATTGCTTACCAGAGCGCAGCCTCAGGTCTGCAGTGCTGTCTGTGCCCCTCACAGAGGTCACCCAGCGCTGCACACACGGGATCCTGCAGCTCTGGCTGCTCTGGGGCTGCCGAGTCACGCGTGGGGATGGTTGCAGAGCCAGAGTGTGGGTTTGGTGTATGCCTGTAATGCACTTAATTCAAACTCCTGCCACCTAATCACAGAAGTGGGCACTGTTCAAAACTTTTGGGTTTATTCAAAGCACTCATTAATTTATTACAAGCTGCATCACAACTAAGCACCGGTATCATATTCTGTAACCTTGAACCTTTTATTTAAAACAGGTCCTTTCTGGAAACATTAAATATCTTTTTATTACCTGTTTAGGCTTAAAACCAAAAGAAAAATGACAATTACATTTTGTAAATAGTATCTATATTGCAATCCAGAGAGTAATATTTCAAGGGCCTTTTCAAAGTGACGGATGTCAAACAAACTTTTATATGGTTTAGCTTTATTCCACAGTGATGGCTACAGGGGAATGTTTGTTTCAAACAGCACCTGTAGGTAATGGTGAGCAGCATCATGTAAGCACAGCTGTATACAAACCAGGGTTCTGAGAAACCACAGGACACACATTTAACAGCGTTGTGGCTCACGAGAGACAAGAAGTGAAACCCCATGATGTTAGTGCTGTACTCTAAATAGGTGTTACATTCTGGAAGCAAAGTTTGACACACTGGAGAGGCTCAAGACCAGACTGACCCAGCTGCAAGATCCCTTGAGCAATTCTGTGCCTCCTCGAGGGCTGGCAAAGAGAGGGGACCCTCTCTCCCTGCATAGCAATCAAATTTGTGCTGAAACAGCATCTGCAAACCTCTCCTGCTATGCAACACTGCAGTCTGTTTGGTATTGATCATGCAGAAGGTGTTTGATAATTGCCTTTGCTGGGAGAAGAGCGCAGAAGAGGAAGGCAAAAGCACATTGGAAGAAGAAAGAAAATCTAAATTAGGACATATAAATAGCATTTTATTTCAACTTAGAAATTCAAAGTATTTGTAAATATCTTTATACAGACTGTTTTCTGAATAAAATGTCATTATAAAACTACCACAGGTCTTTTATATTCCTGCACTGTATTGCTAAAGCTTTGTCCTCCTTTTTCCCTTAATGAAGCTTTAACAAACTTGCATCTCCCATTTAGTTCAAAACCTTTGCTGAGTTTCTGTGAGAGGCAGCATAAAGGGAAGAGAGAGATTATATTCTCCAACACCATCAGTGTCCTGTGAACATGGCTTGGAAATGGAGCTTGTGGGGAAAGCACAAACATTGCCTTCCCTTTTTCACAGCAACAGGTTGCCTCACAAAACACTGGGCACAAGCTCAGCACAGTGTCACAAACTGAAGCCAGTGAAAGAAACAGCACTTGGGTGGCCTTGGAAGCCATCACAGACAGATGGGTTGAACAGAAGCAAACAGCAAAGGGAGGCCTTTGCTGGAACACAAACACATTTTGCCAGAAATACAAACACCTTCCAGCTGCTTCTGTAATGACCAGCAACCAAAGTCCCATTCCAGCTTAGTTTAAATGGAAAAGGGTTGACTGACAAGCTGTAATCTCTTTTTGAGACAAGAACTCCCAGCTGTCATTTCCAGCACCACTGTTTCCCCCCATCCTGCCTGATGCACCACAGGTCAGTGAGGTGTGAGCACAGGGCCATGGCATCCCCTTTCCCAGCCTGGCACACAGACCTGCCCAGAGCTGTCCCCAGACCCGCAGTGGCTGGCAGCTGTCATAAGGGGACGTGGGAGGGAACAAGGGATGGGGCTAAGAACATAGGCTTGACCCCCAGCAACGGGGTCTCTGCTCTGCCCTGGGACTTGGTATCCTTACTGCCCAACTGAGAGACACACTGGTTAGTTTGCAGTGTGTAATTCATGGAGTTTGGACATTTACAAACAATCAAGAGACCTGCTCTCTCTAGAGATAAGCAGATGTGCTGTGGGGTTATTACAGTGCAACAGAAGAGTGGACCAGGCTCTGTCATTTAAAAATACTGTATTTTATTTATATTTATTTACTTAAGAAAACCTAAGGGTAAATAAGCTGAGAGTGTCACCAGTGATGAACCCACACAAAGACTATGAGACATGAGATCTTCACAACCATATTACACAAAAAACCCCATGAAGAAGTGAGACATTGTTTGGGTGCTTTTAGCTAGGCATCATGAAAATCCCTACAGCAATAGCTTCCATAGAAACAGCTTTCTTCCTAGTGGAAGCAGGATGCAGCTAGCATCCAGATTAGTAGCACTCCCTTGCCAAAGTGCCCCCCGTGTAAGGAAGCTGGGACATTGATTGTACGGACACATCACTGCTATCACACTTGCTCTCACAATGCCTCCAAGCACGTCTCTGCTCACTCCCTCCACCTGATGTGCCTTCCCACAGGCAGTGGTGGCCGGCCTGAGGACAGCCCTGCCATGTGCCACGTGCCCTGTGAGGCAGGAGATCTGGGGGTCGCTCCTTGAAGCCGAGGGCATGGCGCCGGCCTGGCTCAGCTGGCTGAGCTAAACTCCATGGGAGCTATTTTGGTGGGCTCTCCAGTACTGCACAATACAAGAAGCATGGCCTAAAGTAACATCCACCTACAACACACTAGTAGATCATTTCAGATTCAGTACTATGTACAATTTACTCTTACTTAGTATACTAAGGAGCTGTGGTATTTCTTCTGAGACGTGTTATTTGACTGATGATTATTGAATCTTTCTGTCCACTGGGCTGCAGAGGAATGCTGCACTCTGGCTGTACCATCGGGTTAAGAAACTTCAACAACCTGCCTCAGTTCTTCAAACAGGGGCGTGAGCTCCTTCTCCAAACTTACAATCAGCCCTGGAAAGAGAGAAGAGACAGAATGTTCCATCAAACAACATCACTGAGTCCAAAGCCAACAGCTCCCTCCCCCTCCCAAGTCACAGGCAGTGTTTTTCAAAGTTTCATGTGAGCTCCTCACTTTCCTGTGCACAGTGGGCAGCACCCCCAGGCAGGGTGTCTGCAGTCCCTGGCACTAAAAGAGGCACCCAGGGCAGCACTACTCTGCCCCACTACTACCTTGTCACTTCCATAGCTACTGTGGCCCAAGAAGCTGTACCAGAAGTAAATCCCTTCTGCTCACATTCATTAGCCAATGTCCTCACCAGCAAGGCTAGGGCCTGGCTGAAGGACTTCCCCACCCACAGAACTGAAGACAAATCTGCACACATTCCTGCAGAATGTTAACATTCTGCAGGAAAGACCCAACAGCTGGCTTGTACAGCACAGTACTGCCCACGCAGCATGGGCAAGGGTAATCACACGAGAAATATGCTTCTAGAAGAATAACAACTCCAGCAAGACACCTAAAATCTGTCAATTTTTACTCACACCTTTCACAATACACTGACAAAATTCACAACAGTAACAAAGCTAACACAGCTTGCAGTGAATTCAGGGAATTTATTTTCAATTATTAAAATACTGCAACCTTTAAACCAGATGTGCAGACATACCTGTATTGGCATTGCTGCTAGCAATGAAACTCACTACCAAAGGTAAGCGATTGAACTGCACCACCTGCAAGGAGAGAGAAGTGCTCAGCCAGCAGCCAACACATTGTGCACACCAGGGCTCTGATGAATTCTTTCCACAAAAATTCTTTCTGCAACAAGCAGTCTCCTCAGTTTAAAGGACAAGCAGGAGCAAGAGCCACAGAGGTGACTTTTCAGTGTACCTGTTTCTCAAGAGTCATGGCTAAAAACACCAACAGAACTTACACTACAGTACAGGGAGCTGCAGATGGAAAACCTGGCATTTCCCTCCACCTTTACTCTGTTCTACACAGTGCTGTCCACCAGAAGCCTGCTTCAGCTGCAGACCCTGCAGATTACACTGTGGACACCACACCCTCCATGGGAAACAGGAGGGCAGGCAGGTTTATTGTTTCACACTACTGCTCCCTGTACGGGAGTATCTGTTCCTCCATTACAGGGAAACGGCACCACGGGCACAACAGTAAGCTAGCAGCATCAAGAGTCAAAGCAATGCACTAATTCACTCACCCAATTAATTTCCAAACAAACCTTGACACACTGCAGGCCAAACAGCTGGCCAGTTTACTGCAGCCATAATTAAAAGCTCTCAGGACCACCAGAACTTGTGAAGGAGCAGAAATGTAGTAGATGATGGACTTTTGGACACAAATAATCCATTTATTTGTGAAAAATGTGAGTGGCATTTCGAAGCCTTCTTACCTCAAAGTCATACTGGCAGCAGCATTAGCTATGAAGCAGGCTGCAGGTGCTTTAATTCATGTTAGGTGTCACTAGTTATAAACATTGTTTATAAAAAGAACATAAACCCTTCATAAAAGATTCAGAAGAACATATGAGCAACATCTGCAAATTCAGAACTACTACACTTTCCCACTGTCAACAAGTAAATCTCAAGTTATGAGAAAGGTAACGGAAGTTTTAAAAATACTGTGAAATTTAGGCTTAACTAAAGCTGTGTAAGAAATAAATCAAAATTACTTCAATAGCAGCCAAGTGAAAATCTACCAGAGCTTAAATAACCTTCTTCCTCTTGCTCAATGTAATGCAAGAACAGCTCATGTCGCTGAGGACAGGGCACACTGAGGTTACTCACCTGGTAGGTATTGTAATAACAGATGATACTTTTGTTTTTGGAGAGTCCTAACTTACTGCCCTGATCTGTGGCAAGGGCAAAGGTGGACAAAAAGCCAGGTCGCAGGGCGTGTTCTGGAGCATTATCATTGGCAACTGGAACAAAACAAGAAAATCCTTATCTTTACATGAGGTCTCTGACTGCACCCCAAACCCTCATCCAGCTCACTGCTCTGCCAGAAGCAGAGAAACAGGCAAGACCTCTGAGGTGCTCCCACAGGAACACCAAACAGTTTTCACAAGCTGTACATCATCTAGTGCTCTCTCTATGATCCTTTTTAATCCTTTTCCTTTAGGATGCCTGTGCTGATGTTCCTTTGGTTCCATGTCCCATTGCACCCATTCCAGCCTTTGAACAGATTACTGGCACACAGTCACTTGACTGCAGACAGGTGATGATGTGCAAGTTCTGCTGGGTGCTTCAATACTCCGGGGCACTGAACAAAATAAATCTGCAATACCTGAAACTTTGTATCCTTAAACTATTGCACTCACAAGCCAAAAACATCTGCAACAAGGACTGCAGAACATAAAAACTACAGTACCAAAAAAGCCAACAAAACACTGCCAAGCTCTGTCTACCACTTATTATCAATCAGCCTGTGAGGGACTGAGGGACTTGAAGATAGAAGGACCTTACAGCACTCCAATCCCTGTCACAGAGGAAGAAAAACTTCCATGGACTACAATTACTGAGGGCACAAACAAAAGGATATATTTAAAGAGGTACATAATCAACTACTGAATTCTACTTAAAGTCAAATTTAACTCTACCACTTGGGATGTTCGGGTATTTGGCATAACCAGAAGACTTTTCTGTACTTCTCCGCCCCCTGCTGTTCCATCAGGGTTTCAGCTGCAGAGCATAGCAACAAGCTGAAGTTACCTTTGATAACAGGCACACCATCTCTGTCTGAGACTACAATAGCATGAAGACCTTCAACACTGAAAAAAAAAAGGGAAGAAGAGACACCATTTTAAAAACACAGTAATTAGTAGGAAAGGGGTTTTGTTGTGTGAACAAATGCGCAAGAAAGGGGAAAACTTTGAAAAAAACTGATGCCCTCATTAATTTAGTATTTGTTCTGTTTAGTACGGGTCTGGTGGCCCCAATAATAAGAAGGACATGGAGCTGCTGGAGCAAGTCCAGAGAAAGCCACGAAGCTGATAAGAGGGCTGGGGCACTTCCCCTACAAAGGCAGGCTGAGGAAGTTGCGGCTGCGGAGCCGGGAGAAGGGAAGGTTGGGTGGAGACCTCACAGCAACCTTCTGGTATCTGAAGGGGGTTTGCAGGGAAGCTGGAGAGGGACCCGCCATTGGGAACTGCAGTGACAGGACAAGGAGTAATGGGTACAAACTGAAGACCGGGAAATTCAGCTTAGAT